TATACAGGGTGGTGACTTGGCTAGCGCATCATAGGGATTTCAATGTAAAATTCATAACATGCAATTATTGGCTCCCCAAATTATTTTAGAGCAAAAATGTATTAAGGTTTTATGTAGAAAAACATTTTTTACGCCAATCAACCGTATTAGTTTTCAATTTTTTGAATACTAAAGACGGAAAATTGGAAAAATAAACCCCCATCTTTTTCAATAATCTGTGATGCCATGGAATTTTATAATAAAAAAAACTACGCCAATATCCGTCATGCCATGGAATGTCTGCTATGAAACAAATCAAATTCTATCAAAAAGTATTATATTTAGAACAGCGAATTCAACATAAAGAAAGACCAAATTACTAAAAACGGTTTCCTAATATAACAATTTACAATAAATGTTCGAATAAGTCACCATTAACTGCAAGACAGTAACCAAGTCGATCATAAAATCAATTTCGAACTGCTGCTAATTGATAACTGGATATCTTTTTGTTTTAGAAAATTCCATGGCATCGCAGATTATTGAAAAAGATGCGGATTTTTTTATTTTTCCAATTTTCCGTCTTTATTATGCAAAAAATTGAAAACTAATACGGTTGATTGACGTAAAAAAATTTTTCCTACAAATTTTGCTCTAAAATAATTTGGGGAGCCAATAATCGCATGTTATGAATTTTACATTGAAATCCCTATGATGCGTTACGCAAGTCACCACCCTGTATACTATAGGTACTGTGTTCAAGCTTTGTTGATAACAGAGTATTTAGGTCGGTGATTGGTTTGACAAAGTCTCCATGAACCTCTAATAACTTTCTAGAAGCCAAGGCAAATTTTACTGAGGTAGATGACTACCAATTTGAATTTGAGGGGTGTGATTTCTCTGCATGTTTTTGTTTTGGTCTCTTCATGGCATACTATGTAGGTATAAGATGTCGAGAAATAAAGACTGTTATTATTAATTTATTAGTCTTTGAGAGTATCAAAAGCTCTTCTAGTCCTTTAAATGCTAAAGAGTCGTTCAAGAGGAATCTTCTTGCGTTTTTAAGAGTCTTTAAGGGCTTTTAAAAGATCTATTGGATTTTGATTCAACGATTTCCGCAGCCCTTTAATGGTTTTTAGAGCTCTTTTTTAGACCCATTGAAAACTTTTGATACCACTTATCAACTTTTAGTAATCTCAAGAATATTTAATATTAGGAGTGCTTTTAAAACCCTTCATAAGTTATAAGGGCCTCCAGGTATATTTAAATTTGAGGGCCTTTTAGAGTTACAATTCCTGAAAGCCTCCCAAGACTCTAAAAGAGTTTCTTAGTTTGGTTTGCATTATCTTTCCACCCTAAACAGATGGCTTTTTTGTATAAAGAAATAAACATTTTATTTACGGGATGTTGCCAATAAGAGCAACTAACCGAGCCGTTAAATTTGAATTTTAAAATCTGAATATAAAATAAAATCCTGCACATTATATTTATTTGAAACGAATTCAAGTTAATCTTAATCCTACATTGAACTGGGCGGAGTTTGAATCGGTAAATCGTGGACTTTCGGTCTTAAACCCTTTCTACTGTATCCGAAAGCCGCCGTAATTATGTGGGTGGCAGCGGACACAGTCAAGGCAACATCGTGACCCGTGCCTATGCTCGGATTGACTTCCACCAAATCGATCGCGTTCAGTCGACCCGTCTTGTGCACAATTTCCATCAGATGAATTCCCTCGCGTAAAGTCAGACCGCCTCGTACTGCAATCGGATTAACACAAACCGACATTTCGCAATTTACGGACTTACCCGGCGTTCCGGTACTGGGAGCTTCCAAAGAATCGATGGAATCGATATCGAAACTGACGTGCAACGATTTCGTATGCGTCGGATCAATTCTATCTAGCGCCATATGGACGCACTGGTGAATGCCGTACTTCTCGATTTCTTCCATTCCGAAAGCGGTTATGCCCAAATTGTCGATTAGTAATCTTTCAAAACTGTCGACGGATCGTAAACCAATATATCCGATGTTTCGTATCGACATAACGGGTTTCTGCCAGTCCATACCGGGCAGATACGGCCAGTAGTCCGACAGTTCCTTCGCTAGTAAAGCTACGGGCATGCCGTGCAAATTACCCGAGTCTGAAGTTAAGTTTGTATTTATATCGGCATGTGCATCGATCCAAAGGACTGCAACGTCCGATTTCGCTTGTAAGTGGCCATCGACTGTGGCCAGAGCTAAAAGAGGCAGTCAGAGGTATTTGCCACTAAAGCTTAGAGAAGCCACATATGGATTTTTTGCATTCAGACTACTAATTTGAGTTAGAAGTTTAAATTCCAAATTCAGACACTAAAAGTCACCATGTTCCAGAATTCAAGAACAATCGACAATAGATTCTTTGGAAAGCCTTCTTTGCGGTTTCCAAAGAATTCTATTGTTAACATCCTTTTTGCACTCCTTCGTTCTAAATCGCGTTTTCCCAATAAAATATGAAAGTCAGGAACGACAATTTTACAATTGACTATCTACTTTGACGCACTAGTGCCTAAAAATTCAATGAAATTATCTATTTAGAGCGGATCATAAATTAAGTACCTAGTATGATGGAAGAGTAAAAAAGAAAATATAATAGTTATTTATTTAATCAGTGGGATAACGGCCTCATTAACTTACGAATGCGACAATTGCGCATACGAGGGCGTTAGCCCGAGCTATTGTAAGAGCATGAGTATGTTAATGGCCGTTAGCCCAAGTATTAAATACAACTTTTTATCTGCGACTGTTCTTCTACTGCTAAAAACGAAAAATAAATTTGATGCATTTTTTTAAATTCCAATCGAAGTAGCATAGTTAGCAGTTTTCGACGCCATAGAAACAAGAAAATCCTAACGTCAAGAAAATTTGTACGTCAAAAATTTTGCTTCTGATTTTTTTGCGTATGTCATGAGTGAGTCTGGAACTATTCCATCAGACGTTAATGTTTACAATAAATAATCTTGATAGTTGATTTTTGATCATACATTGTTTTGACAAGGGCTTATCCCACTGAGTGTGGTAACGAAGTTCTTATCCCACTGAGTGTGGTAATTAAGTTCTTATCCCACTTAAAATGACCGGGATAAGTGAGAGTTATCCTACAGGCGCAGATAAATACACTTTACATCATTCCCTGTAGTACAGGGGCAAAAATAAGCTTAAACCAGAAGTTTTGAACAATAAATTGACATTTTAAATTTCTAGATTTCTACTTTATCGGCATAGAGGACTTGATTTTTTCAAAAGAATTATAATGTCGCAAAAATCTCGCGAAAAGGATTTGAATTATTTAACTAATCCGTGCAAAAAATAGAATACATTACTGCAAAATAACTGTTCCCGCACTAATAATGCAAATAACTATTTCGGAACAACTTTTCAAGAAAAAATAAGGTTCCAAAGTTCATGAAAAGCAACACATTAGCGCTTCTGAATGGTCTGGACATGTACCTATAGTCTGAATTTAGTTATTAAATCTGACGAATTCACAATGTGGCCCTTCTATGCCTTTATAGTTCGCTTACACGAGCAAAAGTACCGATTGAATGATCACCGCCGAGCGTCAGGCAAATTCTGCCATCATTCAACACCCGAGTGACCTGCTTTGAAAGCACCTTCGTGCACGCTACCATATGCTCGTACATTAGCATATTGGGAACGCTATTCGAAATATCGTGATCAATCGAGTATACAATATCGCCGTAATCCTTTACATCGATTTTATCATCTGCAAAAGTAGATTCATTACACGATCGACAAATGAAGATACTTACGGATTTTCTGCAGAGATTTAATTAGTCCGGCGTCCCTCAAGAACTTCGGTGCGTTACCGACTCCCACCTTGCGTTGCCCATTCTCGAACGGCACACCGATCACGCCGATTTCGGTTTTCAAGCTTGCATTTCGAACTTGTCTCAGTAATCGTACACTTACTCTGTTAAACATGTTTTTTTATCAAACGAAAATATTAAAATAAACGTGCGCATAGTATCACATTGCACAATTAATGTGATATATATTGAACTTGACCCCGCAAATGTCCCAAATTCGATAAGGATTGGTGAGCACAGATGAAGTTTCATCATTGTTGACATGTTAAAAATGACAAGGATGCCAGTGAAATAAATATAATCTGGTTTGTCTTTTGTTTTCTGCTGCAACTTTGATCATAAATCTTATGTTACATTTAGCAAATATCGGGCGATCAAAAATGATTGGCTGTCGAGTCGCCTTAGGAAGTTCAAGTTAAATAGGATTTCCCATGTAAACAAAAATTCCAAAGGCGACTAGACAGCCAATCATTTTTGATCGCATTGTAGACAATGTGCATAGTAAAAAGAAAAAGACCAAGATGGAAGAAATACATGCAAAATCTGTACAAAGCCACCAGAAAGTCATGTGGTAGGGGTATCACTACGATCTTGGTCGCAGGCAGATGTATATCAGTGGATATTTTGAAACATTTGCAAAAACAGATGGCATGGCACTAAGAAACGTAGAGAGAACCTGTTCGTGCATGCTGCAAAGATACTGTCAAGTGTTAAATCAGAAATTAATAAAAAAAAATGGAAGAACGAATATGTGGAGAAGAGTTTGGTGTTAGAAAAGAGATGCAATTAGGTTTTGACAGAACAATTGAAGGGAGATGCTTGAAGAAAGCAAAAAGTTTGTGTGTTTTGTTGACGTGAAGAAATCTTTATACGAGTCACAAGAAATAGTGTTGAGGATTAGGGAGAGAATAACAGATTGGTTTGGTATCGGGGTGTTCTCCAACTCTTCCAATGTATATGCTGAGGAAATGGCAAAAGGGAAGTTAGAATGAAAATCTCGTGTAGTGCAGTGGTACCAAGGGTCCCTCTGGTTCGCGCTTGCATATTTGTAAATGTACAGTGGGTTAAGTTGGTAGCCTTGACTGAAACTCCGCCCACCTAAAAATAAATGCCAAAAATAAATAAATTAAAATGGGACAGTGTTTCAAGGAAGATTACGGAATTTAGGTTGCTGACAACATTATCCTCCTTGCGGGAAAATGTACAGGAACTGAAAGAAATGTTTACAACAATTTGAGAAGATGAAAAAGTAAATACAGCTCGATGATAAATTCAGAGTTAAAAAAAATCTGTAGAGCGGTTTTTCATCATTCATTAGTTATATGCTATTTAAAATTTATTAATGTTATACATTATATACAACTTGCTTTTTACAGATAAATATTTTCCTAAAATCTATAATACATTGCTTATGTTTTATACAGAATACAGTTTTAAAATCTAATTAACAAATTAACAAATATATTAATTGGAGGTGTGTTCACATTTGCGACTTTGTGTGGTTTTCACGGTCAAAATTCTCCCCGCGAATTTTCGAATTGTCATATTTACACATAATAACGCATGTAATTGTTAGTTACGTAGCTAATAAATGAAAAACACCAATTTATCACCGAAGCTCTAAGTTACATCAAATCACGTGTAGATATTCGGAGTTCGATTAGGATGAAAATGCGCGAGGAGAATTCCCATCGAGAGATATAAACACAAACAGCCTCTAGATTGAAGTATCTCAGAAATTGACAACTGATATGGCGAGTTTGCTACTAGCCTAATTGACAGAGAGTAACTACAGCCAATCATAAACTGCATAGTATGTTACAATCATGTCGAATCGTCATCCTCGGCAGCTGCTTACTAAAGAAAACATAGTAAGGCGAACAACATAGAATGACCGCAACATGTTGATAATATACGACAAACTAACACCGCTGCCATTCACTTTGTAACAATGATGATAATACAAGACGCAATAAATAATACCTTTATAACGGCTAATTTGACACAATAATACAAAAATGTATATAAAACGACTAGTTTCTAAAATACAGGATGTCTCCATTCGACTGTAGGTACGGGAAATTTTAAAATTAAGGCCCGCCAAAACGTTAAGATATGTATCGATCGGAGAAGTGTTGAAGTTATAATAAAAGAAATACGCAAGGACATCCCATATTTATCCCTTAAGCACACGCACGCACGATCTATTACTATTACGTTATTAATAATAAGTGAAAGGCAGCCTTTTTACTCGCTATAAAGCTTTGAAACGGTTGTGCGGCACATTATTCAATATTATATCACAAAGCATTTGTTACAACAGCACCTTACGTTTAACATTAACAATTCATAAACTTCTCAGTCAGTCCTAACAATTAACAAAAAGAATCCAGAGTGCCATTTACAACAAATGCTCCTTTTATAAAAATATAAAGATTATTCACAGATATTTTAAACAAAGGCCCAGCATTCTAAAGTTTTCACTACGAAATCTACCTTAGGTGTTAACGGATCGTTGCCGTACGTATTACAGGATTCCGATCTACCCTGATACAAATCTCCGTCTAACCACAGTCCGAATTTACCGTCGCCGGCGCCGATGCTGAGACTCTCATTGTTACCTTTGATAAAGTACAAATTCTCGCCCGTCCAGTTATACACTTGAAAGTGCGGACTAAACCTGAAGAGCGACGACTCGCCTGTTCCATAGAAGTGATCGGAAACTTGCAGTGCGCAAGATGTTAGAGCACCAAACACCTGTTTAATCAAGAATTAGAGAGAGTACATTTTTCCTCTATTAATCTCGTTTATTTCGTTAATTTTCACAGGGTGTAACAATCTTGGGGTAGGTAGTTCCTTATTGCTAAAAAAATTAGAAAAAAACACATGCGCCCCTCTTCAGAAGATATCCAGGTTTGAGACTGGAACAAGTAAAAAAGTTCTCGCCCTAAGGCGAGTGACTTTAGCGCATTTTCCATGCATTGGCCAGTACTTCCCAAAAGGCCATAGCTATGTGCGGTATGTTTTTCTTTACGAAAAGTATCTACGGTTAAAATTTCAAAGAAATGTCTCCATAAATAACAAAAGTTGGCATTGCGCATGCGGACATCGGATTTTTGCGATAGTTACCTTTACTAGCAGCACCTGTGACTAAAATTTCAAAGACTGCACAGAATGCGCATGCGCACATCCAATGTTTACAATATGAGATATGTTTGCCTGCATGCGCAGATGAATCGTCACGATTTTTCTTGGGCTCAGGTGCCATTTAATTAAAAAAGAACGAAATAAATATATTGAAAAGTGTAGTAGCTAAGGCCTCGGACGGACAGAGAAAATGATTGCAACAGCACACCCAACTTCGTTGGAAGATGCGCTAAAAATTTCAGTCTCCTGACAGTTACGGTTCTTGAGAAAGATAACCTCAACTTTCACGTAGGTCTGATGTAGAACCACAAGTGGCAGGTGGCCCAAACAAATATAAAAGAGTTGAGAATTTTTGTTTATTTCTCCTTAAGGGTCCAAAATGGCTCACAGTTTAAACCAAACTATAGTTTTGGATTCTACGCACCCGATTTAGTAAAGAAAAGTAAAATTTTGTGTTTCCCAATATAAGGTAATGAGGACCTGGGTGACTCAGAAAAAAATGAAAATTTTTTCACAATCGCGCAAAAGCCGCATCCATACTAAATCGCACTACACGCTCTAATCCTTCATTTTTGGATTCTACGTACCCCATTAATAATAATAATAATCTCTTTCCTGATAGCGTTGACTATTGTGGCCATCAATAGCTATGTTGGTAAGTATGAATTACATACTATCCCTAGATTTCCAATGTACGTGTGTGATTGTTATTTATTTATTTATTTTTTATTCTTTTTTTAGAACCCTACATAACTTCACCAGACACAGACACTAATCGTTACTTGATTTTAATCCGTGCGATTAGTTAACCAGGCTAGACCTGAGTTCTCACAAGAAACACCGACCATAATAATAATAAATCGTCTTTATTGAAGACGATTTATTATTATTATTATTATTATTAACGGGGTACGTAGAGTCCAAAAATGATTCTACGTACCCCATTAATAATAATAATAAATCGTTAATTGAATAGTTTCACTGTGCTTGTTTGGCTTCGTCCCCTCAATCACCCAAATATTGCTTTACGTACTTATGTCGGAAAATTAACGAAATAAACTGTGGCGAGATAGGATAGAGCAAAAATTGTACGTTTCATTATCATGGCGCATATACAGGGTGGTGACTTGCGTAACGCATCATAGGGATTTCAATGTAAAATTCATATAATGCGATTATTGGCTCCCCAAATTATTTTAGAGCAAAAATATACAGGGTGAGTTTTTTTTCACTTTAAGCATTAGGATCTCGGAAACCGTAAGACATAAAGATTTGGTTAAATGAGGAAAGAGTTGTAGCTTTAAGAGCTTATTCAAGATATGCTTTTGTTTTTTTTTTTAAATTCACAGTTTACTAGATATGAGCGAAAAACAGATTTAGTGATTTTTCATTCAACTGTTGTGGAATCGTTAATTAATATCAAATACAGAAATATGCAAAGAACAAAAATTGTAGATTTTTTTCCACTTAATAAGATACGTTTATTAATATTTAATAATAATAATGAGAAATGTCTTTATTGTCAACCGAACAAACAGCAAATAAAAAACATTTCTTCTTCTTCTTTTATAATTTTCGAGTTATAACGCAAACTTGCATTTTTTTAAATGGTAATCATAGTTGGCTGTGACATTTTTAAAAAGTGCATTTTTTCTGTTTACAATGATAAGATTCATTGTAATGACTTTGACAAATAAACATGGTACAGAACTGTTTGTATTATTAAGAGTAGTAAAAACAGATTTTGCCATGCGAAACATTTTTGTTCCCTTAATTACTGTCTATTATAATATTTAACTTGCAGTTAGATGTGCGGCGGGGCACCGTTGTGTTGAAATCAGCGTAAATTACGTCGTGTTTCCAAATCTAACCCATCCTACATATCTTGAAATTCATTTGGTAGAAAATGAAGATAAAATTGGCCTGTCCAATTTTCGTCGTAAATGAAAGGTACCTATTTCACTAGATATTGTTTTCCATGGCCAACTCTGTTTACTTATCTCTCAATAGTACGAAAATAACTGCAGGGCGTTTATTTATTAAAGTACATTGAGCAAGCCATATATCGTTATAAAGAGAAAAATTTGTCCTTTTTAAAAATGTCAAAGCCAACTATGACTACCATTTAAAAAAATTAAAGTTTGTATTATAACTCAAAAATTGTAAGATCTAAAAATAAATTAGTATGTTCATCATGTTAAGCATTAAAATGTCTATAACTTTTATTCGTGTCATTTCGTTGTATTTCTAATAATAACGATTCTACAACAGTTAATTGAAAAATCACTAAATCTGTTTTTCGCTCATATCTAGTGAACTGTGGATTTTTTTCAAAAAACAAAAGCATATCTTAAATAAGCTCTTAAAACGACAACTCTTTCCTCATTTAACCGAATCCGTATGTCTTATGGTTTCCGAGATCCCAATGCTTAAAATGAAAAAAAAACACCCTGTATTAGTTTTCAATTGTTTTCATATAAAGATGGAAATCTTTCTGTTTTAGAAAATTCCATGGCATCACAGATTATTGAAAAAGATACAGATTTTATTTTTCCAATTTTCAGTCTTTATATGAAAACAATTGAAAATTAATACGGTTGATGCATGTTACGCAAGTCGCCACCCTGTAAAGCAGACGGACAGCCCTACTCACGTTATTGTCAGTGTCTTCTATGACTAATAAAATTGGCGATTCCAATTTGTTCATCTTCCGGTACATGGAATTGAGACTGAAACCGTGCTGACTAGTGCTGAAGACGAGCGACCACAAGTAGCCCTCGGCGCGAGCCGGTAAATGCCGACATAACGATTCACGATGTAAGTCGGTCAGAATTTCCGTGTTGCCGACTAGTTCGGGTGGTGCAATATCGATGTCCAGAGAAGGCGCCACTGACGAGTACAGCGCTTGTCGCAGCTCCTCTGACATGGGCAGCACCTAAGAACGACAATGACACAATTAACGCTAGCAAAGACATATTTTAACCGTTGTAGTAGTGCACATTTACTTTGTAGTCGTTCCGGTATAACTTGTGACAGTCCACTGTTTAATCCGTTCTAACATGCACATGTTGATTGTGTCGTATCATTTTGTTAACTGAAATATTTGGAAAAGATTGACAAATGCGGCAGTATAATTTTGGGCGATTTTAATGCCGGTATGTGACGGATCAAGGCAATAACAATCAATTATCTTGTTTGCATACAGACACCATAATTACATTGTAGTTTACAGTCGCAATTACTTACGGTGAGTAATCAGAATTTCATTACGACAAATGACATTCATCAGCTTATTGTTTATGAGAGATTGGGTCATGTAAGTATCACTTACTACTCATTATATTTATACATTGATTAATTAAACAAATATTCTCAGTTTCAATGCCGTAGTGAAAGAACTGGTGTATCAACATAATGTTTGAAAATTGTGAGTTGTAAAAGAATAGAGCACAAAATTATAAAAGTGTTGGAGGGCCATACCCATGTAAGTTACTGCAACAGTCAATCCTCAAAATGACCTATAATGCGTTAGCTAGAAGGCTATGGAAACCACTTAAGTGAACATTAAAAGACCTAAAGTTAAATCTTAAAAATCAATGGAAAGCTTTGGGTTTTGGTGATTTCAGTACACTACTTCAAAGCTTAGGAGGTTCAGAGCAATACTAAAAGGCACTTCCATAACGTTCCAAATGCTACAGAGTTTTCCATGGTCCTTCCAGAATGTAATTTATGCACTTTCACTCAATTAATTATCATTACTCAAATAATTACACTGGTTACATTTTCAATTTAAGAAATAAGATTTTAAAAAACCAGTTGCCAAATTCTTGACAGAACAGCTTCCTAGCTCGAAGCAAATATTTAACAAAAAAAACTTGTTGTTCTTAAGTTGAGTAGGATACCATGGCTATCTTTGTTATTATTATATTTACAGATTCGGTGAAATTGTCAAAGTTGTTTTGTTTTTGACGTTAATGGATATTCAGATGCGACATTTTGAAAAAAATAAATCGTTTCTGGGATAATTCGAAAAAGTGACAATCGCCAAGTTTTAAATAAAATTTGCAAAATTCGATGGAATAAATTCAATAGGTTTAGAAAAAAATTTTTCGAGATATTGACTTCCTTATTTCAAATGATCGCCATATTGGATGTTTACGTCACTGGATAGGGAAAAAATTACAAAACCAGTGATACCAAACACTTAGTATTTCATTTGGGAATCAATCTTACGCCTCGAAGTTTACAATGTATTTCTTATGGCAATAATTCCATGGCTGACTGTGATTGAAACTAAATTCGTTCATTTATTGTTTTGCATACTCAACATCGACACGGCCATAAGAAATACATTGTGAACTTCGAGGAAAAAATACAAGGTTGAAATGAAATCCTAAGTGATTAGTATCACTGGTTTTGTAATTTTTTCCTCTAACGAGTAACATAAAAATCCAATATGGCGGCCATTTAAAACAGTTGATGTCAATATAATGTCAAATAATAATAACAAAGATAGCTCGTTAACAGAAGTTCATTTTTTACTGCGAAACAAAATTATTGAGGAAATCAGAAGGCTATATTTGCACTTTTTGTAAACACCACCTTAAGAAACAGTCATAGGTCTCGTTTCTTTTTCAAATGAGATTATAAATAAAACCCAAATTAATATCACTAAACGTTTGTGCACCTCACAAATATATGAAAATGAATTAGTGTCACAACACAAACACTACAGGAATTGATTAAAAAAGTTGCAAAATCGAGAAATTTACTCGAATCCACCCCCATTAACTAGCAATATGGTCTGATATGAATTATAAAATAGAATATGCCACTAAGCCAAACAATCACACCCTCTGAACCTTGCACCGCTTGCCCTGAACATTACCATTTTTCCAGATGCATTAAAAACCTATTCACACACTTGTAAATTAGCAATTGAAAACAAAACTTTCTACACAATAAATGTGCAAAACGAGTGCAGTTGTTTGAGCAGATATTATTTAAAAAAACTTGCACCGCTTAGAGCTATTGTAAACCTTGAAATAACTCGATCACATATTTCAATAATAAAATGCAAATATCGTTTGATAAAGTTTATAAAAAGAATATAACAAATAGAGTCATTACAAAACCTGTTGTTAAAACTGGAAATAGAAATTTCTAATTGCCACCTTGCTACGAACTATGTCATAACTTCCATGAAAGTTCAATTGCCTTAAAATTGCATACATTATTATTACGTTTACTCATGCCTTAATGTATGCAAGCGGGAATATTGAATAATATTATGAACAATATTTGAGATGTTGTATGAAATCTTATTTTTGCTCCCAGCTAAAATTTCCGGAGAGAGATTAGTCCCTTAAATTTTCTTAAAATGTTAAAGAGCATATGGTTCGAATGATATTCATTTGCAGAGTCGGTCAAAGTAATTTTGCAATTGGCCCATGCTAAACGTCCCCCTCACCTTATCCAAATATAGAATATGAACAAAATTATGTCGTTATTTTTGAGCGCACTCAAAAAGAAACAAAAATTTCTTGTGATATGGCCATGTCTACCTGGTTTTGGCCTCTAGTCCAGGCTCTATAATATTTTTGTATGAAAAAAATTAGTTACCGGGCGAAACCGGGTTTTTCAGGCAGGTGGAATGAATAGAATTTGGGAAAAAATAATTAAAACAGCTGACTTTTTCCCTCGGGTGAAATCACGGGGGTTGAAAGGGGTGGAAAGTGGTATTTTGCAAATTGTGGTAAAACTATTGATTTTAGACGAAAATGGTACAAGTTATAGAGATTAAAAAATGAGCAACTTTGTTTTGTTTGCAACTCGAATTTTTGCTATGGGAATAATATTTTTTTATTTTTGTTGTTGTTTTGGACGATGAAAAAAAAAAAGATTTTTCATCCCCTTGAAAAAGAGGTGGTTTTTTCAGAAATCGTGAGATCTTGGAAACGGTTCAACTTTATGGGCCCAAACAATTATCTTCTGTTTTATCATAAAACAGGCTATGTTACCTTCAATTTTCAAATCCCTACGACATTTTTTTGCAAAAATAAGAATAAAAAACGGTTTTTCTAGGAAAATTGGAAGTTATGTGAAAATAGTGCAGATACAAAAGTTGCTCATTTTTTTAATCTCTATAACTTTTAGATTTAACATTTTCGTCTAAAATCAATAGTTTTGCCACAATTTGCAAAATACCACATTCCACCCCTTTCACCCCCCGTGATTTCACCCGCGGAAAAAATCAGCTGTTTTAATTATTTTTTCAATTCATTCATTTCACCTGCCTGAAAAACCCGGTTTCGCCCAGTAACTAATTTTTTTTGAAAATAAATCATGTTACGTTACGTCCCACATTTGATATGCGCAATTACGCCGCAATTGTAATATTACAACAAGATGAATTTTGACAAAACATATACAGGGTGACACTTTTAAAACTTTCAATGGGCGATATCGTTTTTTATATTAGAGGTATCACAAAATGGCCAAAACCGTTTCGGTAGAATCGAGGGGGAAGCAAAATGGTCGTATAAAGAAGGAACCAACTTCAACCTCGTACCCCCCGCCCCCCCATGCCTAAATTTTGAATTGTGACGTATCACTTGTGATACATCATTGGAAAGCTCTTAAAAAATGCTTTTCAGAAATACCATACACTGGTACATTTAAACTGCCCATTCACAATTTATTACACTAAAATTTGAACTCCGCAAATAAACAACTTTTATTTAATAAAATGTTCAAAATGTTCACCGTTTTGTTCTAAACAATACCACAAACGGTTTTCAAATTCATTTCTAACATTTTTAAACACTTCCCTGGAAAGTGAACGGCACTCCCTGACTATCCGATAGCGAAGATCATTTATGGAAGCTGGTTCAGTTTTGTACACAACCGATTTTAAATGACCCCAAAGAAAGAAATCCAATGGTGTCAGATCTGGAGATCGTGCTGGCCATTCTATAGGACCCCTTCGTCCTATCCATTGTCCCGGAAATTTCTCATCTAAAAATTCACGAACAGCCATTGAATAATGAGGAGGAGCCCCATCTTGTTGAAAATGTATGAAATCTTCAATCAAATTCATGTTTCCGTCAATTGGATTTATTTGAATCTCTATTTCATGAGTGATGAGAGGCTCGACGGTATTTTGTAGCATGTTTAGGTAAGTATCTCAAGTTAAATTTCCTTCGATAAACAGAGGACCAATAATGCTATCACCTAAGATACCTGCCCAGACGTTAATTTTTTGGGGGCGTTGAGTATGCCCCTCGCGAAAAAGATGAGGATTTTTATCGTCCCAATACCGGCAGTTATGTTTGTTCACATTTCCATTTAAAAAAAATGTACATTCATCACTAAAACAAATGTTTTTCACCAGTTCCGGATTATTTTGAATATTCTCGGTCATTATTTCATAAAATTGGATTCTTCGATCGGAGTCGTCTTCGGTTAGTTCCTGTACAATCTGCATCTTATAAGGGTAGAATTTGTGCACCCGTACAGTTTCTCGCGAAAGTCCGGTCATAGTCGCTGCTTTTCGAATGGATGATGTTGGGTTTGCACCAAAATGACCTAAAACTTCAATCTGAGTGGCTTCATCCATTATTCTTGATCCGTCTCTTTTCTTATTTTCCACTGACTCAGTTCCTTTAAATTTAGTCACTAACATTGCAACATAAGTGTGACTGACACGTCATTCTGGGTGTCGGGCATTAAAAACAGCTGCTGTTCTAAATGCAGATCGCGCTTCAGAACCATAGATGAAAATAATTTCAACTCTTTCGGCTAACGTGTACACCATTATGAAATCTTTTGTTAAATTCAAAATTTGTAATTTTCTTGCCAAGAAATACTAAAAACGAGACTAAAATAATAATAACCGATCAACAAATAAAGCAATAGAAAATTATTATTTACTAAAAATTGCTGTCATTGTTTTTCCAAAGCATCACTAGATCTAAGAAATTTTTTTTTATTTCAAACACTGACAAATTCATCAAATACTCAAATTACTCATTTTTATTACATAAATTGTGAATGGGCAGTTTAAATGCAGCAGTGTATGGTATTTCTGAAAAGCATTTTTTAAGAGCTTTCCAATGATGTATCACAAGTGATGCGTCACAATTCAAAATTTAGGCATGGGGGTGGCGGGGGGTACGAGGTTGAAGTTGGTTCCTTCTTTATACGAGCATTTTGCTTCCCCCTCGATTCTACTGAAACGGTTTTGGCCATTTTGTGATACCTCTAATATAAAAAACGATATCGCCCATTGAAAGTTTTAAAAGTGTCACCCTGTATATCAAAAACATTGTTTAAAATTTGGTTGAAAAAACGTCCAAAAGTGTGTGTTAACTTAATTAGCTACAACGTCATAATGAGCAGAAACTACTTGCTCATTATATCATTTTTCCATTCATTAATTAATTGCTGCTTAAAAGTAAAAGGATCATGTCACCTTAGGCTTAAACCTTAGGAGTTTTAAGAAATGCTAATTCCTCCATGGTTTGAGGTAGTACATTAAGTGAGGACATGTAACCAACGCCGCCTACTACAAAGAGGCGACCACCTACAAAAAATATTGTCGCTTACCTCGAAATCATCACATAAAAAATGAGTAAATTTCAAACCTTGCGATACTAAACGAAAATTCACCGACATTCTCGCAAATTAAAGGTTACATTAATAGACATGATCGCTACCTGCCTTAATACCGAGTTAAAAATATTCTTGGCAAGGAAGGAGCGTATTCATAAACAAAACAACTGCCACAATTGTCTATTTTTTCACACATTATGAAGCTTAAATACCATTGAACAAATCATTTTTTACGAATTATGAACCATAAGATTCACTTTACTTTTAGCATTGTGTACATTGACAATCTATTTAGGTGTTGGCCAACCGACTTTTGTGAAACAAATGGAATTGCAAATAAAGCAAAACGGGATGAATATCCCGTCTTACTTGCATCCTATTTACACTAAAACAGCAGGCCATCACGACTCTAAAGCAAGCGGTTTCACGAATATCGTCTCTAATTTCTATTTTGTCTACGAAAAACACTACACTATTTCAGTTGTAGCGATAAGTGAGTATTAAGAGATAGTTCGCTATAATGGACATCCAGTGTTATCACATCTCGTGCAAGTGAGTCACCTCGTCAGTGCTATCCGCCGACATGGTTTGAGTCTTGATGATGCTGTAGATTTTAGCATAAGGCGCCTTGATCAGCTGCACCCGATTGTAGGGAAGTCAAAGCATGTGTTAACGCATTAGACAAGAAACAAAACTAAAAACGACGACAATCTTACCTCCCAACTTTCCTTAGTTAACTCCAATATTTCTCCGTCTTGACTCCCGTGCCTGCTCCCGTGAGGCGTGGCGTCGTTGCTCCAGAGCTCCGTATCCAATTCCACTAAACTAAATCCCCTACGCTGCACCTAACGAAAAAATTTAAGTCACAAATCGATGCACCGAGCGGCGCAATACCTGCTCCTCGTCCAATTCTCCATACAGCTGAGGAAACCAAACTTGTATAAAGCTATAGAGATCGTCGATGCGATTTCTCGGAACGCTGAACCAATATTCGGGTCGCATTTTCTTCTTTCCGTACGACATTAGAGGTGTCGATCGAGGTATCGGCTTGTCGATCGGTTTTCCCATACGCAATCGTAAATAGAGGGGAGGATCGTCGCACGAACGGGCTGGCCGCGGGATTAATTCTGTATTTAAAAGTTTCACCAATTAGATTTTGCCCACGAACTATGTTTTTTATGTAATTCCAAGTAAAATCTAGTACTCATAGCCTTCCAATAATGCCAAACAGACCAATAGATAATCAAATAAAATTACAGGCAAAGGTTCAAAGTAATAACTTGAACTTCATGGATCGCTCCTGTTTAGTCGCAAACTGAGATACGGAAAAAATGGGTCAAATTAATAAAAATAAGAGTAAACTGTCTTTATTTTAGCAGATATGTATGAAAAACGGATGTTTAAAATTAAAAGTTATGGAAGAGTTTCAATTGTCATACAAATCAGCCTGCTTTGATTTTTTTCATCAGCATCCAATACTTCTGAATTCATGTTTTTAACAAAAATCAAAGCAAGCTGTTTTGAATAAAAATTGAAAGTCTTTTCTTTTCTTTCAATTGCCCTCCGTACTAGGGCAAGGATATTTCTAAATGTAGAGTGCGTTGGGTTGGGAGAGCAGCCTTGGCTGAAACCCCGCCCACTCAAGAATAATGGCAAAAATGAATAAATACATTCTAAACAACTTTCCTTAATACATTTTTGTTACATCTGCTAAAATAAAGACGGTTTACTCTTGACTAACTGATAAAAAATTACCCTTATTATTAATTGATTTAGCTAATTTTTTCAATATCTTAGTTTGAGACTAAGCAAGAGCAATCCTCAAAACATGAAGGTCCAACTCTAAAAAAATTCGTCATATACACCTTATATGCACAGTGCACTCAATCTGGGGACATATACTGTATATAAAATCAGGTTGGTAGGCATTTTCAATAAATGTATAAAATAAACGTGTTTGTTTTATTTTATCTACTAGACCAGGGGTCGGCAACCTATTGAAACGGAAGAGCCAAAAGTTACAATTTGCAAAGTTTCCCAGTTTTACAAGTGCCACTAAAAATTTTCGAATCAATACTGTAGTATGTGGTCATATACAGGGTCCTACAACAGTGCGTCCGCCTTTTCTAATTTATATCTGGTAAAAACGATTTAAAAAAATCTTGTGTGCAAATGTCAACTATAGATGGTTGCGGATCTACAGAAATTATTTTTGAATGTACAGGGTGAAATAAATAATTTTTTTAAATAGAACATCCTGAATATTTGTACTTGTTTCAATGTCATTTGTTCAAACAACTATTATTTTTCAAATTTTCAACTACCACTATTTTATTTCGCTATTCGATTGTTTTGTGTCCTCTTCAATTTTTATACGAGGTGTCCTGTGCTTAAAATTCATAATTTTTAAGTTATTAAAGTTTTTTCTTAATTAATTACATGTTTATATATCGGAGTAGGCCGTGACAAACAAGTGTCACAAATTAGGTAATTATGTCCCGCAAGTGTACTTTCAATATCGTAATAAAATAAGATTCATTAACATGAATTTCAAAAAAATGAACTAATTTTTTTAGATAAATGCAGAGAGCCGTAACTTTACATCAAAAGAGCCGCAGGTTGCCGACCCCTGTACTAGACGATAACAATGCAACTTAAAGAGAGATATCCCCAAACTTTTCTTTAGCAATAGAAAAAATATTCTTCTGATCTGAAGAAACTAAATTACATTTCACCAACCAGTAAGTATACAGGGTGTTTTTATGGGAGCTTTAGTTAAACGTTTCTGGGAAAGTAAAATAGGTAGGTTTTTGAAAATTTGTACTTAGGAGTTACGCTGAAGGCCGAACCGATGTAAAATATTTTCAAAATGGCCGCACTTCCGGAAACACCGGAAGTAGACAGTAACTTCGTTATTTTAAATAGCAACCCTAATTTTTTATTGGGTTTTTGGATTCTACGTGAAATTTCAGTTCTTTTGATACCCATATGTCGATATCTGCCATTTATGGTTTTTAAGTTATTTTGACTTTAAGAAAAAAAACGGCGGAAGCAGATGGTACCTTGATAATTAATTTCTTGAAAATGGTTGTAGTCATGGTAACCTATTTTTATCAGTGCATATAGAATGAATACAGCTTTCTTTTAGTGTACTTTAAAAAAAGTTAAGTTGCGTAAGACCGCCCCTATGGAGATCCAAATTTATGAAACTTCAAAGACTAAAAACTCAGTTTTTTTAAATGGGATCACCATTTTCTTAATATTGCATGAGATAAAGAATCGAAATGGGCATATTTTGACAATACATGTTCCTATAGCTATCTTTAACAGTTTCTGACTTATTCCCATTTTATTGAATCGACACTATTTTTTTCGAATTTTCTTTTTAGTAGTCGGCCATGATTTTATAACAATTGAATTTTAAACAATTCTAGTGACACTAATCCGTCACCTACTGTTACAGGTTAACATAAGTTTTTCAAAAATCGAAAAATGACTTGCAGTGGTTTCACCTATTTTGGAATTTATTATGGTGAAATGGACAGAATCGCGGCACATGCTTGCGGTACATTCATTCGAACACTGGAACGAAATTGTAAGAATTTTGGAAATGTTGTATCCCCAAATGCACTACAAACCGTTGAAGCACAAGTGATACAAAGCTCCACAAGTATTTAAAAAAATGAATTGAATTGCAAATGCAAGATTAACAAAATAAATTCAATGTAAACTATAAAAAACTTTGTTGAAACATTTTTTGTATGGAATTGTTGCTAGAACAGATATCGCATTATCTCTCTGAATTTTCAGACTTATACGTTGTTTAAAAAATTCAGATGAATGACTCTGTCTAGATTTCTCAAAAATTTTCCGTCCTATATCCTAAAACGCGTACCATGCTCTTGTACAGAGCACACTGAGCTATGCTCTTTTAGTATGGGGTCAATCGGTCTCATGGCATATGATATTCAAGCTGCAGCGGAGAGCTATACGTGTAATGAGCGGTCTGGGTTATCGTGAGGATTGTCGTGGAGCCTTCAAAAGACTAAAGTTACTTACGTTACCGTCACTGTACATTTTAGAAGCTGTATGCTTTATAAAAAACAACTTGTTAGCATTCTCACAACAGGGCGACATGCATACTCATAAGTCATAATACTCGCACTAAACACAAACTTCGTGTTAACTATTGTAAACTTACAGCATCCCAAAAAGGAGCGTATTACAAATCACTAACCCTGTTTAATGTTATTCCTGTTCATATCAAGGACTTACCAAATATCAAATTTAAATGTGTCGTCAAAAAATTCCTAACCGAACATGCTTTTTACACCCTGGAGGAATTACCTATACCTATTACTGTTTGTCTGTTTTATTTTTAACTTGTAATGTTATATACACTTTCATATGTAAACCTTTTTTGTTTTGACAACTGTAAGTGCTTTGCACCCAAACAGGAACGTAAATAAAATAAAATAAAAAATAAAATAATAAATGACTTATTAAACTAGAATCAATGATATTAAAGTATCCTTTCCTTGATTTGTTTAAAATTCGATTGTTATAAAATCATGGCCAACTACTAAAATGAAAATGCAAAAAAAATGGCATCAATTCAATGAAATGGGAATAAATCAGAAAATGTTAATGATAGCTATAGGAACATGTAATATCAAAATATTCCAATTTCGATTCTCTATCTCATGCAATAGTAAGAACATCGTCATTCCATTTTAAAAAACTGAGTTTTTGGACTTTGAAGTTTCTTAAATTTGGATCTCCATAGGTGCGGTTGTACGTAACTTAACTTTTTTTTAAGTACACTAAAAGAAAGCCCTATTCATTCTCTATGCACTGATAAAAATGGGTTGCCATGACTATAACCGTTTTCAAGTAATCAATTATCAAGGTTGAAGGTACCATCGGCATTCGCCCTTTTTTTTCATAAAGTCAAAATAACTTAAAAACCATAAATGGCAGATATGGACATGTGGGTATCAAAAGAACTGAAATGTTACGTAGAATCCAAAAATGCAATAAAAAATAGGGGTTGCGAAGTTACTATCTACTTCCGGTGTTTCCGGAAGTGTGGCCATTTTGAAAATATTTTACATCGATTTGGTCTTCAGAGTAGGTAACTCCCAAGTAGGTACAAATTTTCAAAAACCTACCTATTTTACTTTTCCAGAAACGTTTAACTAAAGCTCCCAAAAAAACACCCTGTACAGTGCGTTTGAGATAAGAGAGTTACCTCTTTTATTTGGCAAGATACGAAAAATTTGTCAAGAGTAATAAACTTTGGGCGTCACTTCCGATTTAACCAATGAAACTTTTGTTTTTCAAATGCAATGCCTATATTTCTTTAAGATATATGAAAAGAGCAATCAATTTTCTGTATGACAATATAAAATATGCATATTATACATTTAAAAAACTTATGAAATCTAGCATGTTGTGTGCTGTTAGGATGGGCGGACCAGTGGCGGCCCAGCCCCCCCCCCCCCATTGTCCATTTTTTCGTCAATTTTGTGTCGATCTCATTTCCATTATGCGAGATTTCTTTTATTTTTTCCGTGTTAGTACAAAGTTCGGGTGTGGGCCTCTCCCTTTACCAAATCCTGGGACCGCCACTGTAGGGCGGTGTATGTTGTTTTACATGGGTAGATTGTATTGCGCACAAGTAAATCTTCAAAACGAAACATTGAACAAGTTGATGTTAATGTTTTTTACTACTTATAAAACTTCTTCACAAAAGGAATATCGGTGTCCCCTGTTAGTATTCTGTAAGGAGTGCCTCATGCAATTCATGTGTGTACAAGTTGCGACTGTTTCTAGTATTATTTTCTAGGTTTAGTTTTAGGCGATTTTGAAAGAGGTTTCTAATAGAAAGTTATCAAACATTTTTTAATAAGTTTTGCATAGGAAGAATATTCTTTTAAAGTTTTCATGGTAATTAAGAAAACTGTTATGTCATTTTATAGATTCAGAGAGTAAAAATTGAGCTAACTTTATTGGCGCATGCGTAGACATTCATGCAGTGCAATCGTGCAACCTACCCAGTGATGAAAGCCTTAGGTGCGGAGATCGTACTGCCGCATAAACAAAATTATAATATCAGAGATTACTATACACATTCGCATAATGAGTGTTATATTGTGAACGAGATCGATTTTTAACCATAGAATTTGTTCGCTCGGTCGCAAAAACTAATCAAATCAGTATCACTTGTTCTAACTAAACAATGTGCATCCATTCGACTTATCTTCATCTTTTAGTGACATTGGTCCAGTTTTAGCTCCGAAAAAAAAATTGTCTCAGATCAACCCGGAAAAAAAATTTTCTTATAGAATGTGGCCTGTAGAATCCATAATTTCAAACAGTTCCGAGATTGGGCTACTAGTTCAAAAGTTACAGCCCTTTGAATTTTCTTTCGAAATTGGTTTCTAGTCTATAACTTTTGATTGAGAAGTTTGATCGAAAAAGTACGAATTGTTTTGGATTCTACGCACCAAAATTAATAAGAAAAAGTGTTTTCCCGAGAAATTTTGGTGCAGTCGATTTTTGATAAAAAAGGAAGGTTTTACACTGCCTTTTTTTGAGGCCCGAAAAAAAAATTGTCTCAGATCGACCCGGAAAAAAATTTTCTTATAGAATGTGGCCTGTAGAATCGATAACTTCAAACAGTTCCAAGATTGGGCTACTAGTTCAAAAGTTACAGCCCTTTGAATTTTCTTTCGAAATTGGTTTCTAGTCTATAATTTTTGATTGAGAAGTCTGATCGAAAAAGTACGAATTGTTTTGGATTCTACGCACCAAAATTAATAAGAAAAAGTGTTTTCCCGAGAAATTTTGGTGTGGTCGATTTTTGGTAAAAAAGGAAGGTTATACACTGCCTTTTTTTGAGCCCCGAAGAAAAAATTGTCTCAGATCGACCCGGGAAAAAAATTTTCTTATAGAATGTGGCCTGTAGAATCCATAATTTCAAACAGTTCCAAGATTGGGCTACTAGTTCAAAAGTTACAGCCCTTTGAATTTTTTTTCAAATTGGTTTCTAGTCTACAACTTTTGATTGAGAAGTCTGATCGAAAAAGTACGAATTGATTTGGATAAGTATAAGGGTAATGATTACGTTGAGGTATAAATGAATGTGTGAATATTTTAATATGAAAATACTGTTTTTACGTGAATAAATGGTACATAGAAATACTTTGTTTTACAATGACTATTTCCTCACACATGAAAGTTGAAGGTGAAAGGTGACTTTACGCCAACTCTTCAGTTACCTATCTCGTATGAAATTGCACGAAGAGCATTTTCAGCTAAACATATTTCATCTAGCCCTAAAGGTCGCGATATATTTGAAAAAAGCCACGAAAATGGATGATTTTCGCCTCTTTTATGAATTTCCTAGGCTAAGAGGTACACCTAGGCTAACTTCTGAGTATCTACCTTGTATGAAATTTCTCGAGAAATATTTTCAGGTAAAAATATTTCCTATAGACCTCATAGATCGCGAGATATCAGCCAAAAAGAGCGAAAACACGGTTTTTGGAGGATGGTGGGGTGGCTGGAGCCTTTAGCACAGGGTCTGGAGGGTGGGATTTTTAATATGTTCTTTTTGACACCTAACTGAACATATTCCACCATTTTTTTCTTTTCCACCTCAAAATGTCCAGTTTGCAAATTTTACAGTCTCTATCGCCTAGACTAAAGGCAAACATGAATGACTTATAAAAACGTCCTATTGTCAAAATAAAACTTTCTTCGTTCTTTCAATGTTTCAGTGCAATTGGGGATGCACAAAATCAAAAGCATTGTACTAAGAACATAACACTGAACAAATTTCAACTGGAAATCTTGTAGCCGTTTAAAGTAATAAAAAAAAAGAAACAATAGAAACAAAAAAGCAATATAACTTTAATAGAACGAATCAGAGTTCAATAAACAAATGCCTTTAACAGATGGTTAATATGTCCCAAGTCTGACCAAATCTTTTGTTTTGTCGTATTCAGTCCTAATTATATGGTTAGAAATGATTCTCGTTCACAATAATAAGTTGCCTTTATTATTGAAGCACAAAATGTGTACTATTTCTCCTTCTTGCGCTAAAGAAACTTTTATTTTATAATTTCAAATCATGCCAGCGAAAAATTGCGATATCTCGTCAACTTACTGTCAAAAGAAACAAACAATTCCGGCATATCGTCCACAGACACCATGGATCTGTAATCCAATTTTGGAGGTGGCACCTTAGGAGGCTTTACATTTTCTGTCGGTTGTCGCATGAACGTTCCCACTGACGATCGTCTGTAACATACAAGATATGTGTCAGATCATGCATTACCAAAACAAAGAACACCAAGTGTTGTACTATAAAGTTACATCTTAGCATTGGCTTAAATAATACGAAACGAGCCAATCTTCAAAACAAAAAAAAATGTGCTGTGGTTACACTAAACAATTATCGACTAAGAAACCAAAGCGAGACATTTGTTATAAAGCAAGCAACATAAACATACCCCACGGCCCCAACTGTAGACCCGACCACTCCCACAGTCGCCCCCATGGCGCCAACAGTTGCACCTACTGCTCCGACAGTAGCTTCAACTGCGCCGCCTACTACTCCGACGGTAGCCTCAACGGCTCCGCCCACCGTCGCCCCAACTGCACCACCCATCGCGCCCACCGTCGCCCCTACTGCACCTACAGACGCGCCGACCGAACTAATAATATTAGAGGGAAAAAAACTGGAACTCTCCGTGGCACTCGCCGGCGAATCGGTCACGCCGGTCGCGGGCGTCATGGGCGGACCCCCGCTACCGCCCGAGTACGGTCCACCCGAACCTCCACTATCTTCGGACGGGGTCTTGCTCAAAAACAGACCGGTGCCGAAATCCACCAGATTCTTTGGGGAGCTAAACCCCAAGCAGGAGTAACACATGTTAATTTGTTAGTAACCGACTCCTTATTACCAAATGACAGGGCAAACTCACCTCGAAAAAACTTTCGAAAACATCGACGAATGGTGGCTGTCCGCCGAATTCGGTTGACTAGATTTCTCCTCCTCTTTTTCGCCAGTTAGTGTTTCCATCCACGCCAACGGATACGATAATCGTTTCAACATCTGCAATCGGTTAATGTAAAAAACATGACCTAATTGACGAAAACGTAGTGTAAAAATAGAATGGTGAAGACTACTTTACGAAGAAAACGGGAAACAAATTTAGACATCGAGATTTTTTGGTTAAAGACAACTGAAAGGGGAGTTGTCATAAATTTGAAGTGTACAGGGTGTTCTATTAATAAAGGTTAATTATTTTCTTAACAAAATCAGCCAAGACAAATCGTTGGAAATTATTTTCAAGTATTCTAGGTTTACCGCTAGCGGGCGCAAGATTTGTGGTTAAAGAGAAAAATGATTTTTTTCCTAAAGTATACCCAACAAGCATGCATAAAAATAAAGTCTTCTAACTCATAAAATATGAGGGGTGGTAAAAGGTGAATATCACATTCGGTTTAGGGTAACCGATTTGCACATTATTGCTCTTATTGGAAAGAAGTCTCTTCGTGTAACAGATTTTATACCGTCTTTTTAGTAAAATGTGGTAAGTAATAAACGGCGCGGTTTAGCATCACACAAACTTTGCAGGTTTTCTTGAACATTTCAAATGGAACAATATAATTATTATATGATATTATCAAATAAGATGAAAAAGTGAGAAATGTATTTTGATATCTGTTTTCTAAGCAAAAATATGGTCAAAATATGCACATTCACAAATATAAACTGTAATATTTATATTTATCCAAGATGGCTTTGAAACAAAAGAAATACAATCTAGTACCCACTCCCAAGTTAGTAGCTAACCATGGAAAAATACTTTCTCTTCCTATCAATTCAAATAATATCACACATATACCGAAAAATGTGACGTGCACCAATCGTTTTGAAAATACATGGTTTACCTAGTTTCCAAGCTGCAAGGAGAGTGGGTAATACATTCTGCAGTTATTTGCTAGGCTTTAACAATTTTTTCGAAAATATCCACAGTGTTTCCAAGATAATGATGTCCATCAAGGGGTACCAAGGTGAATTTTCTTATTTTCTTTTAGATTTTAGTTCACATTTATGTACAGGGTGTCCCATTAATCATGTTCACAGGCCATATCTATGGAACCGTTAATTGCACTGCTTCGGGAAAAAAATTGTGTTCACAAAACGGACCAAGAGAAATCGCTGGAAATTAGTTTCAAGTTTCTAGCTTCGCCGCCAGAGGGCGTACGATTCATGGTTAAATAGAAAAATGACTTTTTTTCTAAAATATTCCCAACAAACATGCATAAAACATACATGTATAGCAATCTTGTATCAATTTTGCATAATTTTGATGCAGCACATATTGCTCTAGTTCATAAAATATGAGGGGTAGGGGAAGGAGAACATCTGTTTAAGGAATCGAATGTAACTTCGGTTTAGGTTAACCGATTTTCACATAACAGGTCTTGTTGGAAAGAGCTGTCTTCGTGGAATCAAATTTTACATCAATGGAGTCTTTTTAGTAAATGTGATGCGTGGTAGAGGGCGCGATGTGACATTAACATAAACTTTGCCGGTTTTTTTGAAAATTTCAAATGCAACGATATAATTATTATATGATATTATGAAATAAGTTGAAAAAGTGAAAATATCAGTGAAAACCGCATTTTGATATCGCGAAAATTCGAACATTCACAAATGTTAATTGCAATATTTATGCTAATCCAAGTTGGCTTTGAAACAAAAGAAACACAATACCACGTAAAAAACTGTCAAAGTTTATCACAGTCTGTCAAATCCTTTCATTAAACGTATTCTGTGAATTATCACCATGCCCATTTCAAATAAAGTGGCATACGAAATGCTTGCCATTTATTTCGAGTGTCATCAAAATGCAATGGTTGCATCAGGAGTGTATGTTGTACGGTATCCTGAAAGAAGAAAATATCGCTGGTGTCTGGTGCGGCATAATCGAAGGAAAACAATGGGTCCCTATATATTTAATGAAACCCTTAATGGTGAGGTGTATGTGAATTTTCTAAGGAATGATTCTCCTTGAAGATGTAACATTGGAAACCAGGCGAACTATGTATTTTCAACACAGTGGGTGCCCGGCACATTTCTCGGTAAATGTGCGAGAGAGTACTTGAATTTGAATCGTTCAAACAAGGCCAACTACAAGAGACGACATGGTAGAGAGAATTCGACATGCAATTCATAGCATATCTATGGCTGAAATTGAAGCGGCTGTTTTCTCTACTCAGCAGAAACTTCGTCTTTGTATTGAAAATGATGGCAGACAGTTTGAACATCGACATTAATTATAATTACTATTTCTTTTATTATTTAATTCGTATTTGACATAATTAAGTGTTGCTACGTATTCATTTGTTTCAAAACCAACTTGGATGAATATAAATATTGCAATTACAATTTGTGAATGTTCGTATTTTTGACATATCTCTTTTTAGGAGATACAGCAGTTTTTACGATATCAAAATGCGGTTTTCACTGATATTTTCACTTTTTCAACTTATTTGATAATATCATATAATAATTATATCGTTCCATTTGAAATTTTCAAAAAAACCGGCAAAGTTTATGTTAATGTCACATCGCGCCCTCTACCACGCATCACATTTACTAAAAGGCTGTATTAAAGTAAAATCTGATTCCATGAAGACAGCTCTTTCCAACAAGACCTATTATGTGAAAATCGGTTAACCTAAACCGAAGTTACATTCGATTTTTTAAATAGATGTTCCCCTACCCCTCATAATTTATGAGCTAAAGCAATATGTGCTGCATCAAAATAATGCAAAATTGATACAGGATTGCTATGCACGTATTTTTTATGCATGTTTGTTGGGAGAAAACAGTCATTTTCTACTTGAGCATGAATCGTACGCTCTCTAGCGACGAATAGCGATTTCTCTTAGTCCCTTTTATTAACAAAATTTTTTTCCCGAAGCTTTGCAATTAACGGTTCCATAGATATGGCCGGTGATCATTATTAATGGAACACCCTGTACACTACCACTACCTATTATAATGCTGTATTTGTCCTATAATTTGATTGTAGTCTGCAGGACAATTAGCTCTATTATTATTATTATCATGGAGATCTCCGAAACCATTGAAGATATGATAATGGTTAAATTAAAGAAAACATAAGCAATTAAAGAGTAAATATTACGCAATTTTATTTTTTTATATTGTTCGTAAAAAAAGTACACACTGTATTGAGAAGCATTTTTTATTTCGAATATAACGACATACGGCACATAAAAAAAAAGAAAAAATGAAGAACGGTACAACAGCGCACAACGCCCTAATCGTGTGAGAATACCTACTGAAGAAATTTTCCATTTTCCAGGATATGATAGGTATTATCCTGCGATTAGGGCGTTGTGCGTGGGCGCACCATCCTGTTGAAACAACAGTTTCCAACTTAAAAAATCCACTTCATTTTTAACCTGTGCTGTGTTAGTCTTTATGTACTTTCTTATTTAATTTGTTCAACAAGGAACTTTTTATAGATCACAATTTAGCTTATTTGTCACACTCTTACTCTTACACTCTTAAATTTGCAGTTTGCAAAAAATACATAGAGGTTGTCTCACCATTCTATTCTAAATACGATGACAAAACTTACTTTATTCTTTCGCGTCTCTGTATCTTTTCCATCTAGAACACTGGTTGAAAGTGACGGAGTTGTGACTAAATCGGCAGATGTCGAGTCCAGACTAAACGATACAGAGTTGGTTTTTTTACGAGATGGACTGTCAGTCTCGGACGTTGTAACCTGTGTGGGTGCAATAGTAATAGGGGGTACCCAATCATTTGACAAAATAATATCTGCGTCACTATATTTCTGCAAAAATGGAAAAAAAATCAAATCATAAGATGTATAGACGCGGTTATTATAGGCTTGATCCGCTGATGTGTACACACCTTGGTAGAGCAAGAAAAAAAAAACAAACCCAAGCAAAAATAGACTAGCATAGATACCTTTTTTACTGGCACAATAGGAACTGGCGGCGGAGGAGGTGGAGGTGGTGGTGGAGGAACAGTTTCCCTAATATCTATTCCGGAATCGTGATAACTTTGTCTAATTAAACTCTCATCTTCGCTGTCATCATTATCATCTAGTACAAGATTTGATAGATTACTAGAATCATCGTCCACATCGACAGATTGCCGATCCCGCGAGGGTATAGCCCAATGTTGATCTATTAGTGATTTTCGCCTTTCTTCGACGTGAGCATTTTCTAAACCGTCCAAGTTCGTAGGTGTAACCAATTCTCGTTCGAAAGCTTTGGGAAAGGCATCCCCCTCCCTTTCGGTACTGGAACATACAGATTCTGCGTCGTCAGTTACTGTAACTAAATATATTAATATCGAAACGATTTATAATTATTAATTGACAAACCGAGCTCTGGAAATGTCTCATCCTTGACCATGAGCGAGTCCGGCTCGGCGTCGTCGGTAACTTTATGAGGTTTCGTGTGGTATATTTCCGGCTTCTCTCCTTTGCCCCCATCTATATGTCCGACGCGCATGTGCGCAATATCGTGGTATATAGCTACATTCACTACAAATTCCATCGGGGCTATAACGCCGTACGCCTCGGGACCGTGCTCGATAACGAGAGGGTCCGATACGTTCGGATCAAACATAACGGCGTTCGGGGTGACGAGAAGTACCCCGGAGACGACACCTTGCCCGTCGGTAATATGGCGAACGTTGATTTTGAGGAAGCGTTCCGAAAAGCTGGTGCTCTCCTCATCTTGTTCGGGAATCGAAGCTTGATTGTACGATGGGGTGCGTACACGTTCCGCATGACCCGGTTTCGGACTTACCGGTCGAAGGTTGTCTAACAATTCTAAACGGAATTGTCTTAGTTTTGTTATTTTGGTAACGTTGCGCTAATAAGCCCCCCAGAGGACACCTTAATAACATGTTATCAGTTAAAAAAATTTGCAGAAGAAGCCTTACATTTTCCACAATCTTCATTCAAAGTTCACTTCATTTCGTCGTAAGTGAGGTTATATTATTCAAATTACATTGTTGATTTTAAGTTGGTTATACTGTTCTTAAAATTCCTCAGTGCCAACCTTAATTTCTTAAGAGATTATGTTACTTTTTCACGATATAATAAACATTAAATAATGATGTACATTTGTACAAGTATTATACATGTGTTTTTAATTATATCATAATAGTAGTAAGCATTTCCCGACATGTATGATACGAAAAAGGCGTTCCAAGTTAATCAGTAGTCGATACGAACCAGGTGGTATATGAAACATGCGGGAAGTGCCACATGCAACCTTCTCTACGCCATTCCTCTTCCCTAATGCATTCAAGTTTAGACTGTATACACTTCAAAAAGTGGTGTCATTAAAATGTCAGTCACATGAACGTGTCGCTTATTTGGTGTTTAAGTCGAACAAAACCTAAAATTGTATTGTATATTATACCTGTTGTACTACTTTTATTACATTCTCTTAATATACACGTTAAACCCAACATATTTCATTTTAGTAGACGAAGAAGTTAACATAATCTCCTACAAAAATTTACTGTCACTTTGTTAAAAAGTGAAAATGAAAGCTGTCACATAAAATTTTTCAGTTTTGCCAACTTAAGAATGACAAAATATACGTAAAATAACACCAGATTTCCAGTAAATGAAGTGAACTTTTAATTAAGATTGTGGAAAATTTAGGCCCTCTTCCGCAAATTTTTTTATTCTAAACGTGTTATTAAGGTGTCCTCTATCCATTTCTATCAATTTCATTATCATACCTGGGGGGCTTATTAGCGCAACGCACCCGTTATTTTTATACGATAATAACTTACCTTTTTCTTCTAGAGGTAGATCATCGTGCGAGTCGACGTGAGATGTGACATCTTTAAGATCTTTATCAATTCGAACAGGTACATAAAGTTGTTGACCGGGAAATATAAAGGAGGTTCCTAATTTATTCAGTTTGGTCAATTCTGACGGGGTCGTATCAAACCTAGCTGCTACGGATGTTAGAGTATCTCGATTGGCAACCTAAAACATCACAATTGATTAGCTTAGCCTTCAATTAATGTTTGTTCAAAGAAAACTTATGTGAGAACTATTCACCCAAAGTTTAATTAAAATCTGCAGTCGATTGAAGCACAAAAAAGGTTCCTGAAAACATTTAATTTCCAAGTCATTCTGTCATTTCTTGAAGATGTTTTGAAAACAAGAAACAAAGAGAAAACATGACCGGAGAGATCAAAGAAGGTAGTGGAAATTGATGTGATATAAGAACTTTGGAAAAAAAATAAGTAGGACACTTTGCTATCCGAGATGCTATCAAAAGAGTGGCGGTCAAGTCACCTTTGGAACTTTTGTTTACATGGGAAATCATTATTTAACTCGAACTTCCGAAGGCGACTCGACGTCAATCTTTTTTTGATCGTTCATTATTACTTAGGCCCAGTTGTACAATGTCAGTTTATAGTTAAATTGTAGGTTAAAGGAATTGATTGGTTAGTTTGTCAATTGTATTTTTGAAATCTGTCAGTTCAACTAATTTGAAGTTTAAACCGATGTTGTAAAACCGGGTCCCAAATTGATACAACTAGAACTAGCAACTCACCGTGTATAAGGTTGTATTTTCAGGCGGTCCACTGCTACGCTTTCTTTCCGCTAAGCTCGAGTTTGAACCATTAAAATCTGAAATGACTACATTTTAAACACTGCAACGAAAAGTAAAGTATTGAGAGAAACAAACCCTTTGGTTGCGAATGATAAATGACAACATAATCCCCATCCTCCTCTTTTTTCTGAATAAACGCAATTGAGTAGAAATAATCATCTAACAAGTCTAGATCCATTGTGCATTATTGCTTAAAAAATATGAAAACAACATAACCTCAGTTGTGGAATAAGTATTTGAAGGATCTTGCACTGAATCATCATGTTTTCCCATCTATAAATAACTACTCTAATCTCTAACAGAAAAAATGCCGCATATCAGCAGGTATAAACAAATAAAATCGTGATTATGACGCGTGAATTTTTTAACTGGAGTACAGGGGATAAGGGGGAAGGCATACAGGAAGTAACAACGGTTTTCCTGCTAGAGAACCAAAACTAAATTTATAAATAATTTATAAACTATTGAGTAATAAAATTTTTGCCTATTTTGCCGTTTACGCATTGTTTCAATAAAGCTTACTGTTTTCTTAATAATTTTGCTGTCTCTAGTACTCCAAATTCAAATTTTTCCCAGGACAACACACATTACATCATCAAGATAAGAATTTTTGGAATCTCGGGATTTTCGGAGGAATAGAAGAACATACTCCATTGTTTAAACACAACCCGGGCCTAACCATTACAGAGTGAAGAGGTGCGGATGAGATCCCAAAGGGCAACAATTAATTATGCTAATTGACCAGACTTCCTGGGCCAAGCTAGGGGAGGTCTGTGAGCATGGTCCACTTCTCCCGAGTTACGTTTAAAGTCATTGCTGCCATAGCAGTCGAGATTTTGCTTTTGGTCCAAAAACCCTAATTGCATAAAGTATAGTAGATTCTCAGTAATAGCAGATCTCGGACCGGGGTACTGCCGGATTAGTGAAAATTAAATCAATAAAAAGTAAAAACATTTAAAACGCACATGTTTTACACGTTACTAAAACTCATTTTTTAGGTTGGTACTGCACTATAAAACACTAACAAGCGTACTCCGAAAGTAGTCGGAATTTTTTCAGTTTCAAAACCGCATTTTGTTAAGCTTCAAAATACACAACTTTGCCAAATTTAAACTACCTACAGTTACGGGGGGGGGGGGGGGGGGAAGCTCTGCGGTGCACCACAAAAAATTTTTTGCTTCATTTTAGTACTCCTTCGGAAATCAATTTTTTTTTAAATTGCAGCTGATAATTATGGATTCTACACACCAAAATTAATAAGAAAAAGTGTTTTCCCGAGAAATTTTGGTGCAGTCGAATTTTGGTAAAAAAGGAAGGTTATACACTGCCTTTTTTTGAGCCCGAAAAAAAAATTGTCTCAGATCGACCCGGAAAAAAAATTTTCTTATAGAATGTGGCCTGTAGAATCCATAATTTCAAACAGTTCCAAAATTGGGCTACTAGTTCAGAAGTTACAGCCCTTTGAATTTTCTTTCGAAATTGGTTGCTAGTCCATAACTTTTGATTGAGAAGTCCGATCGAAAAAGTACGAATTGTTTCAGATTCTACGCACCAAAATTAATAAGAAAAAGTGTTTTCCCGAGAAATTTTGGTGCAGTCAATTTTTGGTAAAAAAGGAAGGTTATATATACACTGCCCTTTTTTGAGCCCCGAAAAAAAAATTGTCTCAGATCGATCCGGAAAAAAAATTTTCTTATAGAATGTGGCCTGTAGAATCCATAATTTCAAACAGTTCCAAAATTGGGCTACTAGTTCAAAAGTTACAGCCCTTTGAATTTTCTTTCGAAATTGGTTTCTAGTCAGGGGCGGGCCAGGTGGAATTGCATAGGTTATGAGCCATTAAAGTATTAGTGTAGTAATGAAGGTGGCGGGGGGTAGCTCTGCGGTGCACCACAAAAACATTTTTGCTTTATTTTAAAGTACTCCTTTTTCGGAAATCAATTACAATACAGGTTTTTTTTTTTAAATTGCAGCTGATAATTAAAAGTAACAAAATATACAATCCAAACGTGAAACGAGGCGCGTCGCCTATCATTGTATTTCATCACTTTCATGCTACGACAAAAAATGATAAATTCATTGTAAAACACTTCAATTAAAACAGAATTTTTTAATTTTTTAACAACCTAACATCAACCCCAATTAGAGAAACGTGTTAATAACTTATTAATAGTGCAAGAAACTAAATACAGCACATACTTATAAATTTCCAACGGCCCATTATGACGTACAGGCCAGGTGGCAATCGCCACCCGCCCCCCCGGGCCAGTCCGCCCCTGAATTTGAATCAGCCTGTATACTTAAAAAAAAACGGTTCAAACGCATAGAATAGATGGCTAGGCGCCCAATACGACACGAATTTGTTTTAAATGATCATCAACGTCTGCTATGGAAACAATGGAAACAGTCACTTGATTATTCAATGTTAAATTAGGGTTAGCTATTAGTCTTTATTTTTATTATTGGCAGCAGATTATGTGATTGTTAGGATTGGAAATGCCTCAGAAAATGCTTATGCTTTGTATATGGGTATGAGGATTATTATCCAGAAAATTAACCCTGGGGTGAATAAGGGTTATTTATTGTATTTTACATATGGTGTTATAAGGTTATCATTTCCGATGTCTCCAATGGTTGCATGGATTGCGAAATCTGTGAATGTTGAAATATTAACATAGTAGGGGGATGGTAACAGTTTAAGAACTGTAAAAACGGATACAGTTTGTCGCGTGTAATGTTGGTTGCCTACAGTTATCTGTTCCATGCTGTAATTGTACCATTATCATGATTTCATGCGTTTGATCCGTTTTTTTTTTAAAGCATACATAGCCCATATGTATAGGTACATTTAGGAAAAATTCCCTGTATATTGCATTCATTATAAGAAGGTAGTAGAGCTTGAAGATAAGCACACAGAAAATAGAAAACGGCACCAATTATTGTAAAGTAGAAATATCGAGCAAACAGAAATAAATCAAACGATTTGATGCTTGTTTGACAGTTTAGTTGGCAACCGAAATACCAACTAAACAAAATTGGTCACTCATTTTATTTTTCAGCACAATAGTGACTCGTGTTTTAACCAATTACAGTGAATGTCAAAGCTTCCCCTATGCAACTAATCTAAGTACCTGGTCACATTAACAGTTTGAAACATTCGGCAACATCATTCATATGAGTAGCTTTTTGTACGCATTCCAATTAAATTTGAGATCCAGTAGTCTCTGCGCAAAAAAATTAAACAAAAAAGTCAAATTAGATTAGACTTTTGACGACTTAAGCAGTGCCGTACCTAGTTACCCTCCCTAAATTAACTCAAAAATTGTATCAAAATTACTAGGATATTTAGGAGATTTTGATACCAATCACACAGCTTTTTTATGTAAATAAGATCTCAAATATTTTGAAGTGTGATGTTAATTGGAAAAAATCTATCTTAATTTGTGATAATGAAATTAGCAAACTATACAGTCAAATAAAGGAGGGCCAGATCGCAAATATACCTAAATTCAAAATGTTTATTTACGAGCAACCTTCATAAAAAATCAAACATTTTAGTTTTTTCCTCCTACACATTACCTCGATCAAGGCGACTGTCCACCTTCTCCTTGATTCTTAATGCTTCAAGATCGAACGTAGTGGAAACACCATGATCGACACTTCTACTTTTACTCCTGCAAAATAAATGAAATTCAATGAAAATTTTGAATTCCTTATTATACGTTTAGCTAATCGATAGTAGTAGGTAAGTAAAGAACAAGACGCTACATTTACGACAGTAAATAGCAGGTGCAATACATACCGAACGTAAGGAAGACTTTCGTTACTCCTGGTGATCCTTCCGACATCCTGTGAGGCTCTACGTGACCTGCCATTGCAAATTAAAAGAATTCAGAATAGGTGTCATGCAACAAGCGAAATAAAAAAATTATCTACTTCCAATGTGTGCTCATTTACGTATTCTAACATATAAGCGTTTCTAATTTGCACCTCGGGTTCAGCGTCTCCTTACAGATATTTTTCTGTTTATTGACTCTTATACACACTGTGTCACTTACATTTCGTGCAATGTATTTATATCGTGACGCTAAGCACTGTTTTAATACAAGAAAAACTACTAGCAAAGCAAACCCAAGAATAAGTAAATATTCAGTAAAAACAAATTAGAAAATAAATAAATGACAAGTAATGCACAAATAAAAAAAATGGAGCTGGATATTATCATTGTATACAGGGTGGTGACTGGCGTAACGCATCATAGGGATTTCAATGTAAAATTCATAACATGCGATTATTGGCTCCCCAAATTATTTTAGAGCAAGAATGTTTTGTAGAAAAAATTTTTTTACGTCAATCAACCGTATTAGTTTTCAATTTTTTTTCATATAAAGACGGAAAATTGGAAAAATAAAACCTGCATCTTTTCCAATAATCTGGGATGCCATGGAATTTTCTAAAACAAAAAGATATCCAGTTATCAATTAGCAGTAGTTCGAAATGGCTTTTATGATCGACTTGGTTACTGTCTTGCAGTTGATGGTGACTTATTCGAACATTTATTGTAAATTGTTATATTAGAAAACCGTTTTTAGTAATTTGGTCTTTCTTTATGTTGAATTCGCTGTTCTAAATATAATACTTTTTGATAGAATTTCATTTGTTTTATAGCAGACATTCCATGGCATGACGGATATTGGCGTAGTTTTTGTATTATAAAATTCCATGGCATCACAGATTATTGAAAAAGATGCGGGATTTATTTTTCCAATTTTCCGTCTTTATTAAACAAAAAATTGAAAACTAATACGGTTGATTGACATAAAAAATTTTTTTCTACAAAAAACCTTAATATATTTTTGCTCTAAAATAATTTGGGGAGCCAATTATCGCATGTTATGCATTTTACATTAAAATCCCTATGATGCAAGTCACATCTGAAGTATAAACAATGATATTATTAAAGCAACTGTAGGAATAAGTAAGATTGTTTATCTTAAAAATCCAATATAACTAATTACGGAACGATCCTCGAGATCGTTTTTGGGCCGTGACTTTTTGGCCCTTAAGAAAATGTGCCAATTTTCAAAGCGATCGCACGTTCTAAACAAACTTATCGTGCATACGGATGGACAGACAGACATCAGCAATACAAAATTATAAACGACGTCGAGGATGGTATAAACTAAAAAACCGATGGCAAGACAAATATCATCCGCATTACGAATTCTCCAAAATAATAAGCAACGTCCGAGGCAACGTCATACTTTACGTGCCAATAAATTCGAACATTTAGAATGTTCCACTCAATTAAAATACTACACTCCATTAATCTTCGAATTTAAGAAGTTAAGGAAACATAAACCGAATAATAAAATTGGACAAAGGATAGTATACAGGGTGTTTGTTAAAATTTGCCTTTTTTTCCCGAAATGCCATTTTAATGATACAATGAATGAATTACTGTAATCTAACGAGGGTAGATAGGTGCCTTTTCCTGATTGTTTCAATGATGGCGTGGGTGTTCCTGTAGTCTAGAATATAATTAGAAACGCACCGAGTTTATATTTAGGCGACACGAAACCGAAATAGAGAAGAAGAGGGTGCGTTAATTTAGGGCGCACAAAAACCTTCAAATCGCTATCATGTAGTAATATTGTAAATAAATTCAACTTTATGGCACAGTTAAACCACGGTCAATCAAACCGTTCGCATTTATGATCTTTTTTAACTACCTCCTTTTTATTATCCGATATCAAATAAGCAGTTAATTGCGGATTAGGTAACGCTGACATTGTGAAAGTTGCAGTACTCGTCAAATAATGTTGATAATTTTGGCGCCATTCCCCCTTTTGATTTTACCTACAAACGGCAATGGCCCTTTGAAAAATCCACTCACAAGCACGAATCAAAAAACTATTTTCGTAGCGAAACACACTGAAGCAAATATAATTTACGAATGCCATGGCGGTGGTAAACTAGCCATTGGAATGGATCCAAACTTGTCCAAAGCTACTATTGTCAAAAAATTGCAGAGAATGAGAGAAAAAGGTTAATAGCTTACAATTTCACGTAACGAGAATATAATCATTTGAGCGATTCTAATCGCAACAAAAGTTCAGGGTCGAAGGGCCATAGGCACGAGGAAAATGGCAACGCCCAAGCAGTTACGATACCTTCAACAATTACGGTTCTCTACGCAATTTTTTAATTACGCGCAAGTGTTAATGAGAATATTTATTGAGGCCGCTTTTCAATGCCAATAATCCGACTTTACGTTCGCGTCAAGATGGGACAACTTTAGAATGTTAAAATTTAACTCGGAGGCTATACAGAATTAGCCTCGACCGAGGATTTTCTTCCGTAAAAAAAAACAAATAAGTATTGGGAATGAGCATACGAAACTTCATTTTGATTTACAATCAAAGAGTTGGCGTCGTCGCATTCTTCCAAAATTAACTCGATCGCTTTTTTTGCGAACGAAAGTTTTTTGAACTCTTCGCCACCGGATTTTTTTTAATCTTTCGGCAAAGACCTCCTTCCATAGTTGCTCTGTATTAGCGATCAAAACATGGTGGTAAATGATAGTGGTTCAAGAATGTTTAAATCATAAATGGAAGTGTTCTCTTTTTTCATACAATATGATTCATTTTCGGATTTGAAAATTAAAATTCAGAGACACATCAAAGCTCGTCCGGAAACTTGTTGCAATTTGCAAGCACTCCCAGGATAAGGTTTTGGGTCATCCATTTTCCGATGACTTGATATGAATTCCTATCCCATTTTGCTAAATAATAAGACCAAATTCTATAAACAGAATTCTTCAGTTTTTAATGTTTTTGCAACCCCCAGACCAAGTTACTACTATGCGATCAAAAATGTGTTGCTGTCGAGTCACCTTTGGAATGTTTGTTTACATGGTAAATCGTACTAGAAATTTCCAAAGGCGACTCGACAGCAACTCATTTTTGATCGCCCGTTATCTTGCGATGTAAGTCAAAAACAACGAAATACGCCCCGCCCTTTTTTCATTAAACATTTGATAGGCGACATGTAAGCTAAATTTATTTAGTAATTACGTCGCCAGTAGCAAACAAAACACTTAATTTAACAGCGTGTAAATGATTCAATTTCACGCATACATAATTAAAACTGGTAAACGTCAATTATGTGAATTTCGAATAATAAATCGTGACATTGCAGCTTGTTGTTCTCGGATCACCCCCCCGTAATATCCTTACGGCCGTAGTACAGTTTGACAAGGTAAACGGCAATCGCATGCGTGACGATTTACCTTAACTCCATATAATTATGATTAATTGGGTTTATAAATTTTGCACGGTCTTAATATAATTAATTTTGAATTAAGACTTTAACGGATCGCGTGCTTCGCCGACATTATTTATCTTTTGCAAGTCAAATAATGAGCAAGTTGCAAAATTTTGACGTATTTATTTTTTATTTAATCAGCGCGCGGATAATTTTGACAGGTTGACAATCAAAGGAGAACAACCTTTTTCGTCGTACGCGCAACCCCAATGAAATAATGGCGTGTGGAGTCGCAGACAGAGGCCAACGATTTTGGCACCGTTTAACGTCGTTAGCAAATGGAAATTTACACATTCTATAATTCGTTATGTAAACAACCGAGTACATACACATATTCGTAATTTATTGCTGTCGTGCACTTATCTGTTTGTAAGGTTATTAGATGTACGCCAACAATAAGTAAAATACATAAGAATAAATTAACGAAGCGTCTCGGTGACACAATTAATATGCGCAAAAAGTAGGCGATTTTATACCAGCTTCGCCGCCTTCGCCGTAATAATTTTTATGGAGCTTTGTCAAAGTTACGTGTTCACGACAAATGTTAATTAATATGCGAATTGTGTACACAAAAATCACTACGTAACAATGAAATGGATAACATAATGTTCCCATATCCGGATCTTTTACCACCACCAAATGTGTCATAATTCAAAACCATTTCTATCAACTTTGTAAAATGGTGCATGACGAGTGGCATACCAAAGTTTCAAATTTGTCTTTCCAAAGCCACCTCTCACGTTTCTATCTTCCTTTTTTTTTAAAAAAAAACGTAAAAAAGTAAGTCTCCTCAAAAACGCTACAGGTGGCAATGTAAAATAAGTGAGCTGCGTAGCATACGCATAAAATGGGCCTAGTCTGCAGTTCAATTAGCGAAATGTAATGCTTTTGTTACGAAAATCGCGATCGCGCGCATTTGACCCAGAACCCGGGAACACCTAAATTTATACAAATTCCTGACCTCCCTTCACCTCACAAAATTTTCTTCAAATCGAATAAACCACACTAAAAAAGTGGACGAAAAAGTTCTTCAAGGGTCAGTTCTAGGTCCGCTATTTTTCCGATTTTACTATGGTAGCAACACGCAGAAAATTCCAAAGATGCGGACAAGGCTACAAAGTCCACGACGGCCATGGTACGGGATTGAATGGTGGAGAGGGGCCTCGAACTTGTAGAGGCAAAGACGAACGCGTTGCCGACGATTCCCCCAAACCAATGTAACGGTCGGAGGAGTAAAAGTTCCTCTCCAAACAACAATTGACGTACTAGGAGTGAGATTAGACAGAAGCCTCTGGTATACAGGGTGGTGACTTGCGTAATGCATCATGTAAAATTCATAACATGCGATTATTGGCTCCCCAAATTATTTTAGAGCAAAAATGTATTAGTTTTTGGTAGAAAAAATCTTTTTACGTCAATCAACCGTATTAGTTTTCAATTTTTTGCATAATAAAGACGGAAAATTGGAAAAATAAAACCCCCATCTTTTTCAATAATCTGTGATGCCATGGAATTTTATAATACAAAAACTACGCCAATATCCGTCATGCCATGGAATGTCTGCTATAAAATTCAAATTATCAAAAAGTATTATATTAGAACAGCGAATTCAACATAAAGAAAGACCAAATTACTAAAAACGGTTTCCTAATATAACAATTTACAATAAATGTTCGAATAAGTCACCATTAACTGCAAGACAGTAACCAAGTCGATCATAAAATCCATTTCGAACTGCTGCTAATTGATAACTGGATATCTTTTTGTTTTAGAAAATTCCATGGCATCGCAGATTATTGAAAAAGATGCGGGTTTTATTTTTCCAATTTTCTGTCTTTTTTATGCAAACAATTGAAAACTAATACGGTTGAATGGCGTAAAAAATTGTTTTCTACAGAAAACCTTAATATATTTTTGCTCTAAAATAATTTGGGGAGCCAATAATCGCCTGTTATGAATTTTATATTGAAATCCCTATGATGCGTTACGCAAGTCCCCACCCTGGCCCCCACACACAAATATTATGCAACACAACTTTTTTTTCTGAATTGGAATTCATTTTACTATTATAAATTGATTGAGCTTATTTGATACTATATTGTGATTTTGCTAATTAATCAGTAATATCTAATATCAATTACAATAATTACAAAATAAACAAAAAGGAAAAGTAACGTCTATTTCAGATTTGTTTTTCCACAATTCATATGCATCTAGGCCAGGGGTTGGAAACCTATTGAAATAGAAAAGCCAAAAGTTACAATTTACAAAATTTCCCAGTTTTTAAAAGAGCCACTAAAAATGTTCGATTCAATATTATAGCATTTGGTTATACACAGGGTCCTGCAACAGTGCGTCGATCTTTCCTAGCTCATACCTGGTAGGTGTAGATGGTTTTGCGCATCTAGCCACCTTGATTGTGAAGTTAAGAAATACATTTGATCAATAATGTTAAACCGAGTAAAGGGCAACACTTTGATACTGAGAAAGTTGGATTTAGTGATACAAGAGGTACAAGGAAATGGTAAAGTTTCCAAAAGTGCCGTAACTATAGGTACTCTTTTTCAGATGGAACTACCATTATTTTATTTTGCTATTCGACTGTCTTTTTTTTTCTTCATTTTTGATAACCCCGCAGTTTTTAGGTTATTCAATTTTTTTCACAAAAGTACCTACCCATTAATTAAAATATTATATATTTATACACCGGAGTAGGCTGTGATAATAAAAAACAAAAGAATGCCGTACAGTAAACACGTCTCACAAATTAATTATTTGCTGCAAGTGTACTTTCTAATTCGTAATAAAATAAGATTAATTAAACAGTTGAATTTTGAAAAAGATGAACAAGACTCCGAGTTGAGGAAAGGGGAACGAAGCCCTCCTGAGTCCTGGACAATAACTCTCGTGCCAGATCCGAGACCGTGGATTCCAACGAGCGACTGAAAAATAGGCTTCTTATTCTAAAAACGACTAACAAGCTACGTTTAAAAGTACGAGGGAGAAGGATGCAACAACCAGGATACCGAGCCACGAGGACGAGCAGCAGCAGTACCAGACCATTGGGAGATGGCGGTTTTGCTAACTGAGCTAACCAGATTGTCCTATAAGTGTCGCTTATACCAAAGTGTATGGAACGCCGTTGTATCTTTTAATAACTGAACACCCGGACTAAAAAAATTAACTATAATTGACGTAATGGTACTAAAATTTATAGAAATTTACTTTGTGTTAACAACAATTGCCTAGTTGAAATTAATAATTGCATATCTTCCAATAACAACTCGCAATAATTTCCTCTTTTACAATTTCAAATAACGGTTTTTGTGCGAAATTTCAAAAACCGTTATTGAAATGGCATATTTAACCATTTCAAATCGGCAGTCTTATTCATATATCACGATTTAGAAATAACGTGTTGAAAATTTTAATGTTCAAAAATTATCGATTTGATATTATTAAATAATCTTTAATATCACCTTCACGCTTTGTAATAATTTTCAATTTCCAGTTGAAATAAAAAATTCAATTCTCTATTTCAAACTCGTAACTTTGGAACGCACAATTTAATTTTTAATATCAACTCTGTGATATTGGTAATTCGATTTACTTATATGTCATGACATATAAAAATTTGTGGTGCCATCTATCG